AATATAATGTATCTTGATATGTGTGATTGATGTATGTGGGTAAGAGCAGGTGTATAATAAGCGTTGTATGGTTGATATGGGTGATTGATGTATGTAGGTAAGTGCATGTGTGTGAGCGTTGTATGTTTGATATTGGTGATTGATGTATGTGGGTAAGTGCAGGTGTATGAGCGTTGTATGTTTGATATGAGAGATTGATGTATGTGGGTAAGTGCAGGTGTATAAGCGTTGTATGTTTGATATGGGTGATTGATGTATGTGGGTAAGTGCAGGTGTATGAGCGTTGTATGTTTGATATGAGTGATTGATGTATGTGGGTAAGTGCAGGTGTATGAGCGTTGTATGTTTGATATGGGTGATTGATGTATGTGGGTAAGTGCAGGTGTGTGAGCGTTGTATGTTTGATATGGGTGATTGATGTATGTGGGTAAGTGCAGGTGTGTGAGCGCTGTATGTTTGATATGGGTGATTGATGTATGTGGGTAAGTGCAGGTGTATGAGCGTTGTATGTTTGATATGGGTGATTGATGTATGTGGGTAAGTGCAGGTGTATGAGCGCTGTATGTTTGATATGGGTGATTGATGTATGTGGGTAAGTGCAGGTGTATGAGCGTTGTATGTTTGATATGGGTGATTGATGTATGTGGGTAAGTGCAGGTGTATGAGCGTTGTATGTTTGATATGGGTGATTGATGTATGTGGGTAAGTGCAGGTGTATGAGCGTTGTATGTTTGATATGGGTGATTGATGTATGTAGGTAAGTGCAGGTGTATAAGCGTTGTATGTTTGATATGGGTGATTGATGTATGTGGGTAAGTGCAGGTGTATGAGCGTTGTATGTTTGATATGAGTGATTGATGTATGTGGGTAAGTGCAGGTGTATGAGCGTTGTATGTTTGATATGAGTGATTGATGTATGTGGGTAAGTGCAGGTGTATGAGCGTTGTATGTTTGATATGGGTGATTGATGTATGTGGGTAAGTGCAGGTGTGTGAGCGTTGTATGTTTGATATGGGTGATTGATGTATGTGGGTAAGTGCAGGTGTATGAGCGCTGTATGTTTGATATGGGTGATTGATGTATGTGGGTAAGTGCAGGTGTATGAGCGTTGTATGTTTGATATGGGTGATTGATGTATGTAGGTAAGTGCAGGTGTATAAGCGTTGTATGTTTGATATGGGTGATTGATGTATGTGGGCAAGTGCAGGTGTATGAGCGTTGTATGTTTGATATGGGTGATTGATGTATGTAGGTAAGTGCAGGTGTATAAGCGTTGTATGTTTGATATGGGGGATTGATCTATGTGGGTAAGTGCATGTGTGAGATCGTTATAATGTTTGATAATAGTGGCTGTTGTACATTTATAATATATAACATCAACCATTTGAACTCATTTTATATACTTATAACTGTCAGAACCCTATCCCTAACCCTTATTGTGCATGTAATAATTGCAGTTATTAGACATAATGCCTGATGAATTGAAGGTAGACATGTATGCTGTAAGGTTGTGAAGTAATGTTTGTATTACATTACGAACTAACGAGAGAAAAATAAAATATATTTTGTACGGCCCGCAGGTTCCACCTGTCGAGTTATGTAACATATGGGATACTTTATATGTTTAATGTAATGTGTCATCATGTATCATGTACTTCCTAAAGTTACACGCTGTATTTTCTTTACCATGTGGAAGTGATATACCATGTTCTTTGTATCCATGTATCTTGAGTTGTTGAAAAGATGCCTTTAACTAAATGGAAGTGATATACCATGTTCTTTGTATCCATGTATCTTGAGCTGTTGAAATGATACCTTTAACTAAATGGAAGTGATATACCATGTTCTTTGTATCCATGTATCTTGAGTTGTTGAAATGATACCTTTAACTAAATGGAAGTGATATACCATGTTCTTTGTGTCCATGTATCTTGAGTTGTTGAAATGATACCTTTAACTAAATGGAAGTGATATACCATGTTCTTTGTGTCCATGTCTCTTGAGCTGTTGAAATGATGCCTTTAACTAAATGGAAGTGATATACCATGTTCTTTGTATCCATGTATCTTGAGTTGTTGAAATGATACCTTTAACTAAATGGAAGTGATATACCATGTTCTTTGTATCCATGTATCTTGAGCTGTTGAAATGATACCTTTAACTAAATGGAAGTGATATACCATGTTCTTTGTATCCATGTATCTTGAGCTGTTGAAATGATACCTTTAACTAAATGGAAGTGATATACCATGTTCTTTGTATCCATGTATCTTGAGTTGTTGAAATGATACCTTTAACTAAATGGAAGTGATATACCATGTTCTTTGTGTCCATGTATCTTGAGTTGTTGAAATGATGCCTTTAACTAAATGGAAGTGATATACCATGTTCTTTGTGTCCATGTATCTTGAGTTGTTGAAAAGATGCCTTTAACTAAATGGAAGTGATATACCATGTTCTTTGTGTCCATGTCTCTTGAGCTGTTGAAATGATGCCTTTAACTAAATGGAAGTGATATACCATGTTCTTTGTATCCATGTAGCTTGAGCTGTTGTAGTGGTACCTTTAACTAAATGGAAGTGATATACCATGTTCTTTGTATCCATGTATCTTGAGTTGTTGTAATGATACCTTTAACTAAATGGAAGTGATATGTTCTTTGTATCCATGTATCTTGAGTCGTTAAAAAAAGTTGCCTTTAACTAAATGGAAGTGATATACCATGTTCTTTGTATCCATGTATCTTGAGTTGTTGAAAAGATACCTTTAACTAAATGGAAGCGATATACCATGTTCTTTGTATCCATGTATCTTGAGCTGTTGAAATGATACCTTTAACTAAATGGAAGCGATATACGATGTTCTTTGTATCCATGTATCTTGAGCTGTTGAAATGATACCTTTAACTAAATGGAAGTAATATACGATGTTCTTTGTATCCATGTATCTTGAGCTGTTGTAATGATACCTTTAACTAAATGGAAGTGATATACCATGTTCTTTGTATCCATGTATCTTGAGTTGTTGAAATGATACCTTTAACTAAATGGAAGTGATATACCATGTTCTTTGTATCCATGTATCTTGAGCTGTTGAAATGATACCTTTAACTCAATGGAAGTAATATACGATGTTCTTTGTATCCATGTATCTTGAGCTGTTGTAATGATACCTTTAACTAAATGGAAGTGATATACCATGTTCTTTGTATCCATGTATCTTGAGTTGTTGTAATGATACCTTTCACTAAATCGAAGTGGCAGAATTGTATAAATCCAACGAGTAACTGTAACTAAACATAATTATTAAGCTTTATTTATGTTTCCTTATTCTTCCCTTTTCATGCACCACTTATTACTCAGTAATAGTAGATCTCAAACACCAATTACTCAACAACTATGAAAGCGATTTTTTAACTTAGTGTATGCCGTCTCTAGGAAGGGACCAATGTTTTGTTTGCAATAAGTCAATGTCAGCATTAAGGTTGTTGTGCAACAAGGCTACATCATTGTCAGTTTCTGGGGCATAGTTATCTTTTAAGGCATGGAGTTCTACATTTGCATGTATATTACAAACCCTACCAGATCAATGTCATTATTGTGAAACATGGTGGTATCTTTCATGATCAATTACTGTTAAATTACTTGATGAGCCCAGAGCATATATCTAATACAACTATCACCCACATTCCATTCTCGTTCCCAGCATCCTATATTCGTTGTTATTAAGAACTTAAGAGAGTTGAGTGTAAATAAATACGTAAGGGTCCCCCCATTGATGTATTTTATTGTTCCTTAACCACAACTGTTTTGCAGCAACTACATGCTAGTCTATTTACCGATGCACTTTTACTTGATTAAGGGTCAAGTAAATGTTTTCAGACTTGAAGTGCGTGGGTTTGTTAAGATTTTAGCTGTTTAAATTAACTGGCGGTGAAGGGTCTGTTTCTGTTTTAGCAAGTACTTGTTTCGTTGTACTTGGGGTGGGGGGTATAATTTTTTTGTTTGCTTCATTAGCATAAAGACGAATGGTGAGCTTGATCAGCCATAACATAGTAGCTGAGTATATATCAAATATATCACTATATAATAGAAATTATCAATGCAAGAGAATAGCCAGTCTAGACTATACACCGAAACAGATACCATTTGGCGTAAAGGGCAAAATAGCTGGGAAAGTTACGTGAATGGACCACTGAAAATCAGTGATGACACCAGGTGTCCGCAAAAGGGTAAACATGCCCTGCCCTATGCAGGGATGCTCGGAATGCTTGCCATAACTAATACTGCACACTGAACACAGTTTTTAGTAGAAAAAAATCTGTTTTCAGTAGAAAAAGCCCAACAACTTTGATCTTTGCATGATGAACTATATTTAGGCATTTGAGGCAGTCATATTGTTTCGAACGTTAATGAAATTAGTATGTCTAGATATGACAAGTCCTGGTACTGTACCAAAAATCAATAAAGATTTTTCTTTGTGTTTTAGCATATGATGTTAATACCAGAACCAAAGTGATCACATGGTGATGTGATGACTATCAATCATTTCCCACAGCAAACTAAAAGTGTGAACATGTTACCTAAGGATAATGGATAGCATCAGAATAGAATCATGATAATACAGGTAAAATATAAAACAAATATTGAAAAAAACAAAACTTTGTATGCTTGCGATAAGCTGCCTCACTCTGGTGGTGTAGGTACGAATCCCAGACGGGACTCAACCCATAAAAAGTGCGAGAATCTGTACTTTACAAAGAATGTGTTATCCCAAACATTTGTTACATTTAACCACTTTCTAAAATGGCATTTGTGTTAATTGCTTTTGGCCATGGGAGCCGTGCCAATTTACACTTGTCAGAGGTGTATAGAAAGTACTTGATCTAGACTACCAGTTGTTCGCACTTTCATTTTTAGTGGAAGCCTCGGTGGCTGAGTGGGTTAGATCGCTGATTTTGTGTGCTGGCGATAAGGTGCCTCACTCTGGCAGTGTGGGTTCAAATCCCGGACGGGACGCAACCCAATAAAGTACGAGAATCTGTACTTTACAATGAAAGGGTTATCCCAAATATAACATTTGTTACATTTGACCACTTTCTAAAATGGCATTGTGTGTTCATGTGAAAATTTGTTTTCTTGAAGTACATTCCCTAGGGATCTCCGCATTCAGGGGATACTTGTATTTAGTACTACAATGGAACATAATATTACTACAGCTGTCTGATAGACCCAGGTTAACATTATTTACTAGAAACTAAACAAGCACGAAAATATGCATCCGGATACCTTCATCTTTCTTCAGTTTTCTTGATACAATCAAATATATATTAAGTGTCCTCATTTAACTGAACAAAGGGTGCTACCAAATGTTTTACAAAGTTTGGGGAAGGTGTTCGGATTCAAAATGGGAAGGTATCTGGAGTGATTGGTAGGCTTTCTGAAAGACAGTCGTGACGCCGTTAGTCAACCGTCTTCATCTTTTGATTGCCCCTGATGACAACAACGACGATAGCGATGAGAATCACGACGACGAGGAGTCCAGCACCTCCAGCAGCAGCGACGATGACCACACGATCCTGGGACCAGTAGTTGGGAGTCTGTGGAGCAGGGCACAGAGAACCAAACATAACCGCAGAACATAAACAACAGATAAATAGTTATATTGACAAACGTATTCACATAGAAAATATTGACATGAACAAAGTACGAAGTATTGATAAGAAGTGTATATATATATATATATATATATATATATATAGAGAGAGAGAGAGAGAGAGAGAGAGAGAAGTATATATATATATATATATATGTATCTCTCTCCATCAATAATGCATATGTTGATTCAGGAGGACAAAACTATTTTCTTTCTGTGAGTATGATACACCTCTTGGGTTTAGTTTGTTTAAGCAAGGTTGACGAACCTGAGTCGTTGGCTTGCATGAGTCGACAGGCTGAGTCAGTCCAGGGGCGAGATCAAACACACACTGACCGGTGTTGCTGGCGAGGTCGACAACGGTGATGTAGGTTAGGGCCTTACAACAGTCACTCCTGTCAGAAAACACATTTGGCATCATGACCGTTTATGTTAAATATTTATTTTAAAAGCGTCGTGTGACTTCACTGCAGGGAGTAGTTTACATTGACTCGTGACATGCAATTACTACTGATAAAAGCGTTGTATTCATGTGAAGAAATGTGAACAAAAATAGATCATATTGTCCCATATGACATAGACTTGCAATGACTAGGTTGTTGTCATGCTCACGTGATGGCAGCAGATAGGGTGCCGTTGTAACCCAAACTGAACGGGTCGTGTCGGAACGTTCCAGTTGTCTTGACAGAAGCGGTCACTAGGTAGAGTCCGAATCCATCGTCTTGAATCTCAGCAGTCCCTGACCACTTGTACTGGCTGCACACACAAGGGTCAAGCATTGTGACGTCACAACTACCTGTCAAAGCGGTGATGTTGCAGACAGGGATGGTGTTATCTTCTTCCTGTAAATAAACGTTTACCGTTAAGATAGGCAAAGCAGCTTTCTCTGATAACTATTTCGACACATAGTTCATTTATTTAAGTTGGTGCTTACATTGATAAACTAGCTCTGCAGCCCTTAGGTCACTGTTAAGTAAACTTACCCTGACTACACGCTCTTCTGTGGAGACAATCACAATGTCGTATTGGAAGTCGTCGCCAGTTGCGGCGGATGCAGACGCAGAAACTGTCACAGTGCTGTTGAAAATTTAAACAGTTGCAGTATTATCTAAAACATCATTTTATATAAACAAACGTCATCTTTGTCTTGGAAGTGCGTTAATACTAAAAGATGATTTTCATTTCATATTAATTATGAAACTCAAATAGATCTACAGAGTAAAGTAAATCAGTTCCGTCCGTCCATAGTAATGAAGTACCCCAAGTACATGTATCTCCTCAGTTGTTATCTATATAACAGAACTTTGCTAACGTCTATGAACATCAAACCTCTGAAGGTCCCTTACTGATCCATTGCTACACCAAAGGTGGAAAGTAGAAAATAAAATAAGCTTCATAAGAAAAGGTACAATTCAAGAACCAAGACGTCGTGACATAGGGCAAGCATCCGGATGCTGTATTGATGTGGTTTGTTGTTTTAAGCTGCCGTCAGCAATATTCCAGTTGTCAGATAAACCAGCGGTACATATTATGTGCAACGTCCCTCGCTCTCAAGTTACGATGACACGCAACCAACATTTCTGGCCATCGACCCATTTCAGTTGCATCTTACAAGCAGCTGTGCCGGGGACCTATTTTAACCCATCAGGGGTTGTCGTGTTCTCCATTTGATATTGTCAAGTTATGAGGGAGGCAAGTACCTGGTCAACCCCACGGTCCCCCCAGCGTGCAGTGAAAACTCTCCCGATGCAATCTGACCAGGCTGTAGCGTGTACTCCAGAGATGTGTTTGTTCTTGCAAAGTTCTGATCGTCGCTGATTGTGACAGTCATATTGGACCCAGCTGCACCCTTGTTGATGACCAGAAATGGTACTGCCAACTGCTCGTTGATATAAAGACTACCTGTAAAAAGACGAAGCATAACGACAGTTACAGACAGTTTTTTCGGTAGCCATTTCCTTCTGAACTAACATGGCTGTAGTTTTCACACTGAGACTAAATAGTAATATTGTAAAGCACTCCCACCGACCAGCAGCATGACAAACACGAAACGTGGCACCAGACACGCACCATACTGCCATGTGATTGTGGCTGCCAGAACTACTACACTTCCAAGTGTCCAGTGTCACTCAATACAAACTGCATGCCTGAAGTAACAATGTGTGTAAACAATGTGCTTACAGGATTTCATGAAGCTAATGTCACTGCACGAACTTCTTTCTTCTACTGGACAAGTTGTATTGTCATTAACAACGGCCCGAAGTTATATTAAAGGAATGAAGAAATACACGTGCCTTGCGCTTATGAATGGTAAAAGCGCAGACGAACATACCGCCGAAAGGGTACCTTCCTTTTACCCTTACCATTGAGCGGAAGCAATCTCAGGTCGATGCTAACAGGCACAATTGCTTTTGGCCGTAGACGCAGAAATTGGTTTCCCCCCTTGTCAGTGCCCGCAGTTGTCATTTGGAATGCCTGTGTCAACACAAAAGCAACAGTACCCTGAATACACACGCACATATTGCATACCACCAATAGCGCATAGACCTTTTAACATAGAACATATATCCTACCAGAAGATATGAAATAATTTCAATACAGCAATATTATTCAGGTGATACAAATCGTCACTAATATATTTTAACATACACGTCTGTAAAACTTTCAAAATGTTTTATGGTAGACGCGTGGAGGACACTTCAAAATATGACAAAAATTATGTCCAGTACAATTCCTTATTTTGATTGAACCCTATTCCCGTGTTTTCGGGTGAACAATTGACTTGCCTTTGCATGTCTTTTTGGCGTTTGATGACCTATTCGCGAACACCTGGTGTCATCACTATTTAATAGCTTTTCAGAAACACATAATTCGATCGACTCTGCTTTAAGCCAAATGTTTTTGTGGCTGAGGAAAGTGTTTTGTTGCTTATGTTCCCTTTCAGTAAGGAGTCAAGAAGCTCTGTTAGTAATCTCTGTGTTCTAAATGAAAATGCTTGCCTAATACGACTGTATATGATTCTCCTTTCTGAGATTTTTGGGAAAGAAAATATCACTGTGATTGATTGGGTTTTGAAACCTTGACCTCATGATGAAGGTAAGCTCTCGTTAAATTGCTACAGTAGTAAATCACACAGTGTATCGTTAGTAAATTGCAATCACGATTCGTTACAAATGTTATATGTTCAATTTTCTGATAATGTAGACTGAAATATACCATTAACAAGACTTTTCAATAAATGACTACAAATACGATGGTACCATACTACATACTTTCTGAATGTAACTCTTTATACCGTTGTCAAGCAAGACTGGACTTCTAAGTAATGCCTATCAAACATTAGTTTTAGCTGATCTAGGTTTTTTACCTTCGCGGGTAGGGAGAACGTGATCCTGTAGACAAGTGAATCAGCTCGTGACGCCACCTGTGTCAGTCCGCCGTGTCTTGCCAGCTCAGATCCTTGAGGGTCAGTTAAAACAAGGTTGTCTACTGTTCCAACATTATCTGACGAAGGAATGCGTACAATCACTGTGGCATTTTCACCTGTGAATAAGAAGAGTCTTCGACTAAGAAAACAGATACAATTTAGCTACACATAAATGAAACAGGAAGACTACTAAAAATACAAACATGCACGCTGTCAGCTTCTATCACTGTTATACTTGTTGATCGAACATCATTGAATCATTGAATATACAACAGCATTGAATCATCAACCTGGCCATATCTATATAATTTAATTGGGAGATTAACATTACGTGTTTTCAGATTTGATGTGATACGTAATAGGTATGTGGTATGCGTCAATACCACACAGTGTGTAGGGGGACATTGGTGCAGGGAGCGTAGGGGGACATTGGTACAGGGAGTGTAGGGAATATTTATACAGGGATTGTGGGGGGACATTGGTACAGGGAGCATAGGGGAACATAGGTACAAGGAGTGTCGGGGGACATTGGTACAGGGAGAGTAGGGGGATATTGGTACAGGCAGTGTAGGGAACATTTGTACAGGGAGCATAGGGGAGCATAGGTACAGGGAGTGTGGGGGGACATTGGTACAGGGAGAGTAGTGGGATATTGGTACAGGGAGTGGGGGGGGGGGGGGGGGGCATTGGCACAGGGAGAGTTAGGAGATATTAGTACAGGGAGTGTGGAGGACATTGGTACAGGGAGGGTGGTGGGACATTGGTACAGGGAGGGTAGTGGGATATTGGTACAGGGAGTGGGGGGGGGGGGGGGGGGGGGCATTGGCACAGGGAGAGTTAGGAGATATAAGTACAGGGAGTGTGGAGGACATTGGTACTAGAGAGTAGTGGGACATTGGTACATGGAGGGTGGTGGGACATTGGTACAGGGAGGGTGGTGGGACATTGGTACAGGGAGAGTGGTGGGACATTGGTACAGGGAGGGTGGTGGGTCATTGGTACAGGGAGGGTGGTGGGACATTGGTACAGGGAGGGTGGTGGGACATTGGTACAGGGAGAGTGGTAGGATATTGGTACAGGGAGGGTGGTGGGACATTGGTACAGGGAGGGTGGTGGGACATTAGTACAGGGAGGGTGGTGGGACATTGGTACAGGGAGGGTGGTGGGACATTGGTACAGGGAGGGTGGTGGGACATTAGTACAGGGAGGGTGGTGGGACATTGGTACAGGGAGGGTGGTGGGACATTGGTACAGGGAGGGTGGTGGGACATTGGTAGAGGGAGAGTGGTGGGACATTGGTACAGGGAATGTAGGGGGGCATTGGTACAGGGAGTGTAAGGGGGCATTGGTACAAGGAGTGTTGTAGGACATTGGCACAGGGAGCGTATGTCTTTGTGTGGACATTGGTACAGGGAGAGTGGTAGGACATTTGTACAGGGAGAGTGGTGGGACATTGGTACAGGGAGAGTGGTAGGACATTAGTACAGGGAGAGTGGTGGGACATTGGTACAGGGACATTGGTACAGGGACAATGGTCGGACATTGGTACAGGGAGAGTGGTGGGACATTGGTACAGGGTGTGTAGGGGGGCATTGGTACAGGGAGCGTAGTAGGACATTGGTACAGGGAGCGTGTGTCTGTGTGTGGACATTGGTACAAGAGAGTGGTGGGACATTGGTACAGGGAGAGTGGTAGGACATTGGTACAGGGAGTGTAGGGGGGCATTGGTACAGGGAATGTAGGGGGCATTAGTACAGGGAGTGTAGGGGGGGGGCAATAGTACAGGGAGTGTGTGGGGACATTGGTACAGGGAGCGTATATCTTTGTGTGGACATTGGTAGAGGGAGAGTGGTGGGACATTGGTACAGGGAGAGTGGTGGAACATTGGTACAGGGACATTGGTACAGGGACAGTGGTAGGAGAGTGGTACAGGGAGAGTGGTGGGACATTGGTACATGGAGTGTATGGGGGCATTGGTACAGGGAGTGTAGTAGGACATTAGTACAGGGAGCTTGTGTCTGTGTGTGGACATTGGTACAGGGAGAGCGGTGGGACATTGGTACAGGGAGAGTGGTGCGACATTGGTACAGGGAGCGTGGAATGACATTGGAACAGGGAGAGTGGTAGGACATTGGTACAGGGACCGAGGGGGCCATTGGTACAGGGAGTGTAGGGGGGCATTAGTACAGGGAGTGTGTGGGGACATTGGTACAGGGAGCGTATATCTTTGTGTGGACATTGGTACAGGGAGAGTGGTGGGACATTGGTACAGGGAGAGTGGTGGAACATTGGTACAGGGACATTGGTACAGGGATAGTGGTAGGACATTGGTACAGGGGAGTGGTAGGACATTGGTACAGGGAGTGTAGTAGGACTTCGTACAGGGAGCGTGTGTCTGTGTGTGGACATTGGTACAGGGAGAGTGGTGGGACATTGGTACAGGGATAGTGGTGGGACATTGGTACAGGGAGCGTGGTAGGACATTGGAACAGGGAGAGTGGTACGACATTGGAACAGGGAGCGTAGGGGGACATTGGTACAGTGAGTGTAGGGGATATTTGTACAGGGAGCATAGGGGAGCATAGGTACAGGGAGTGTGGGGGGACATTGGTACAAGGAGAGTAGTGGGTTATTGGTACAGGGAATGGGGGGGGGGGGGGGGAGGGGGCATTGGCACAGGGAGAGTTAGGAGATATTAGTATAAGGAGTGTGGAGGACATTGGTACTAGAGAGTAGTGGGACATTGGTACAGGGAGGGTGGTGGGACATTGGTACAGGGAGAGTGGTGGGACATTGGTACAGGGAGAGTGGTAGGATATTGGAACAGGGAGAGTGGTGGGACATTGGTACAGGGAGAGTGGTAGGACATTGGTACAGGGAGAGTGGTGGGACATTGGTACAGGGAGAGTGGTAGGACATTGGTACAGGGAGGGTGGTGGGACATTGGTACAGGGAGAGTTGTGGGACATTGGTACAGGGAGCGTATGTCTTTGTGTGGACATTGGTACAGGGAGGGTGGTGGGACATTGGTACAGGGAGAGTGGTGGGACATTGGTACAGGGAGGGTGGTGGGACATTGGTACAGGGAGAGTGGTGGGACATTGGTACAGGGAGCGTATGTCTTTGTGTGGACATCGGTACAGGGAGAGTGGTGGGACATTGGTACAGGGAGAGTGGTGGAACATTGGTACAGGGACATTGGTACAGGGACAGTGGCAGGACATTGGTACAGGGAGAGTGGTAGGACATTGGTACAGGGACATTGGTACAGGGAGAGTGGTGGGACATTGGTACAGGGACAGTGGTGTGACATTGGTACAGGGACATTGGTACAGGGAGAGTGGTGGGACATTGGTACAGGGAGTGTAGGGGGGCATTGGTACAGGGAGAGTTAGGAGATATCAGTACAGGGAGTGATAGGGACATTGGTTCTGGAGAGTGGTGGGACATTGGTACAGAGAGGATGGTGGGACATTAGTACAGGGAGAGTGGTGGGACATTGGTACAAAGAGAGTGGTGGGACATTGGTAAAGGGAGAGTGGTAGGACGTTGGTACAGGGAGAGTGGTAGGACATTGGTACAGGGAGAGTGGTAGGACATTGGTACAGGTGAGTGGTAGGATATTGGTACAGGGAGAGTGGTAGGGACATTGGTACAGGGAGAGTGGTAGGACATTGGTACAGGGACATTGGTACAGGGAGAGTGGTGGGACATTGGTACAGGGAGTGTAGGGGGGCATTGGTACAGGGACAGTGGTAGGACATTGGTACAGGGAGTCTAGGGGGACATTGGTACGGGGACAGTGGTAGGACCTTGGTACAGGGAGAGCGGTAGGACATTGGTACAGGGACAGTGGTAGGACCTTGGTACAGGGAGAGTGGTGGGACATTGGTACAGGGAGTCTAGGGGGACATTGGTACGGGGACAGTGGTAGGACCTTGGTACAGGGAGAGCGGTAGGACATTGGTACAGGGACAGTGGTAGGACATTGGTACAGAGAGAGTGGTAGGACACTGGTACATGGACAGTGGTAGGACATTGGTACAGGGAGAGTGGTAGGACATTGGTACAGGGAGAGTGGTAGGACATTGGTACAGGGAGAGTGGTAGGACATTGGTACAGGGAGAGTGGTAGGACATTGGTACAGGGAGAGTGGTAGGACATTGGTACAGGGAGAGTGGTAGGACCTTGGTACAGGGAGAGCGGTGGGACATTGGTACAGGGAGAGTGGTGGGACATTGGTACAGGGAGTCTAGGGGGACATTGGTACAGGGACAGTGGTAGGACCTTGGTACAGGGAGAGTGGTGGGACATTGGTACAGGGAGTCTAGGGGGACATTGGTACGGGGACAGTGGTAGGACCTTGGTACAGGGAGAGTGGTGGGACATTGGTACAGGGAGTCTAGGGGGACATTGGTACGGGGACAGTGGTAGGACCTTGGTACAGGGAGAGCGGTAGGACATTGGTACAGAGAGAGTGGTAGGACATTGGTACAGGGACAGTGGTAGGACATTGGTACAGGGAGAGTGGTAGGACATTGGTACAGGGAGAGTGGTAGGACATTGGTACAGGGAGAGTGGTAGGACATTGGTACAGGGAGAGTGGTAGGACATTGGTACAGGGAGAGTGGTAGGACATTGGTACAGGGAAGTGGTAGGACATTGGTACAGGGACAGTGGTAGGACATTGGTACAGGGAGGGTGGTAGGACATTGGTACAGGGAGTGTAGTAGGACATTGGTACAGGGAGAGTGGTGGGACATTGGTACAGGGAGAGTGGTAGGACATTGGTACAGGGAGAGTGGTGGAACATTGGTACAGGGACATTGGTACAGGAAGTGTGGTAGGACATTGGTACAGGGAGAGTGGTGGGACATTGGTACAGGGAGTGTGGTGGGACATTGGTGCAGGGAGTGTGGTAGGACATTGGTGCAGGGAGTGTAGGGGGAAATTGGTAGAGGGACAGTGGTAGGACATTGGTACAGGGAGAGTGGTGGGACATTGGTGCAGGGAGTTTAGGGGGGCATTGGTACAGGGAGTGTGGTAGGACATTGGTACAGGGAGTGTAGGGGGACATTGGTACAGGGAGTGTGGTAGGACATTCGAACAGGGAGAGTGGTAGGACTTTGGTACAGGAGAG